GCCTTGTTTGGACGAGACCATGTGCCCATGATGGAGGAGGATCTCCTAAGTGCTCTCAGCTTCCCCGTGGAGATTGGAGAGCTCTGGAGCCTGGACCTAAAGCAGATTACATTCTTGCACCCTAAAGATATTTGTATCCCGGACATTGGAAGCTTAAGTCCCCTGTGAAGGTCACAAGGTTGTGTCTTTCGGAAGGACTGTGATTCACTTCGGTTAAAAAAAACACAGGTAAAATCTGTGTGTTTCACTTTGGAAAAAATGTCTACTAATAACTGAATACTGTATAATTGCACCTCCATAAAGACATATGCAAATCATGGGAGACCTGACACATTTCCTCATGATTCAAAATGCCGTCACCTAATTATCTGTCTAATGTGACTGTGGAGGGGGGGTGGGCTGGGCATGGGGGTGGAACTGGCACTCCTCGCACAGGGGGCTGTGCTTGCTGAGCCCAAGGCCAGAAGGAATCTGTAGACAAGGCACCATCCACATCGCCGGTGTGTTTCGGATGGGAGTTAATGCTTCTGGCGTTAGACCAGATCGGAAAGTGACAGAAAGCCAGTGGAGATATTTGAGTTCCCTGTTAGTTTTGTTTTAAGGGTGAGTCTCATGCAGGGTGCCATTGTTGCTGTGTTTCCTGTTTACCTCGTTGACCAAAAAGTCATGATTTCCTCCACTTGATCGAGTTCCTCCTGAGGTTGAAGCAAGTACGGGGAAGATTTTGTTCTACTGGACCAACAGCAGTTGAATCATAAAGACCCCCCCACAGTACCTTCTAGTAAATCTGCCCCAGCTGTGACCTATGTGATGCTCTTGGTTCACTCTTGGTTTGCACTCTGGTCCAGTTTGGAGGGTGATTTGGGATGAAATCACAATGGGCGCCTTGTTGAAGTCGATCAGCCCTTTACCGTATCGCTAATGACCACATGACATCAGACCTTCCCCTCCCTTTGACGGCAGGCATTGAATGTGCTATTGTTAATGGAGGAAGTGAGTCAGCACCTGCCTAAGCCTCTGTGCTGTGCTCTCTCCTCTTGTGTGGGTCGATGTAGCCTCTTGAGCAGTCGTAGGATTAAGGGAAATAGTGCTGAAAAACCCAGAGCTTTTGAAAAATACGGGTCAGGCAGACGTCAGGAACCTGGGTTGGAGTACGAGTGTAGCTTTGAATGATGCATGGATTTAGATGACTGGCACAGACCAGCACGCATCTCTGCAAACATGCACATGAAGTCTTTGCTCATGGCTGCTTGTATGTCGCACCCGTGGGGCCAAATTCCTGACCTGTTCCAGAAGGACACCCACCTCTGTAATTGTAAGTGAGGCACATAGACTTCACAGACAGTTATACATACTTCAGAAGCTTCTCTGAGTTGCTGATCTTTTGGCTTTGAGAGAGCGGGAGTCTGTTCCTGTCACTTTAGTGAACAGGAAATAAATAGTTCAATAGTTACAGATGGATCCAGCTCTGGAGGAACGGTGCTGGGTCCCTGAAGGCGAACACTGAGCTTATCTTTTAGGGCTTTATAAAAAGACTCAATTAGTTCAGAGGACTCATTAAGAGTAATTAAATCAGCTTAAGAATATCTGCTCATTAAGAATGGTATCAGGTGTCAAGTAGTTTTTAGCAGAAAGGTTTGCATTTCTCCAGAGCTGAATTGATCGGAGGATGTCTACCTGACTGGACTTTTGTTTTCAGCATAGAATAAACAATGCCTTTGACCGACGGAGTGTGTGTCTGCATGTGTGTGTGTGTGAGATCAGTGACAGAGGTGTTTCATTGCCATGCTTCTGTCCTCATTTCACACCATTCATTAGGAGATTAGTTTTTTTCTACACGGTTCTGCTTGCCCCAGCGCTTCATGCTGGTGTTCTGTTCTGAACTCGTCCAAAGCTGATGCCGTTCTCCCAGTCCATGTGTCCTGATATAGCCGTGTGTGCTGACAGTGACCTGTAAAGCCTTCACCCCAGTCCCAAGGTGTGTGTGTCTGTGTTTGTTGCCTCTGTCTGGTGCATTTCATTTCAGTACTTGATTTTCAGTAATGAAAAGCAGATCCGACATCATTGTTTATATGGCATTGCATGTTATGGACAGTAGTCTAAAAATAATGTGCAGAACATACAGTACAGGTTCTTGTTCCAGGAAGTGACCTGCAATTGTTGCAAATTCATAGGAGACAGCTGAGGGTCAGCAAACTGATATTACACAAAGCTGACTGGTTTGTGACACCACTGGAAGCACTCACTCCTCAAGTCCTGCTGCATTTCTCAGGTGTTTAGAATTATGTATGCTTCATTCTTGTTGGTGGTTCTACATTTATTTAGGAGACTCTTTTGTCAAAAGCAATGTATATGTGAGGATTAGAGAGCAGAATGAGCCAGGGTCCCTGCAACAACTGGCCTTGCTCAAGGGCCCAACTCTGAAATCACTGTGTGCTATGGGATTTGAACCAATGTCCTTCTGATCACAGGTACAGTCCTGAGCTGCAGAGCCACACACCACCCCCAAGGTTCAAGTGATATTTTTAATTATGCTTTAAATAAACTCGGTGGAACCTAATGCAAGGTACAGAGACACTGAGGAGTGTCCTCACTTTGAAACATCCAAAGTGATATGGATGTGCATGTTTTAATGAGTGTGGAGCTTTAATGAGCCTGTCTCTGTGTGCTTGGTCTGATGCCCTCTGCCTCTGATTCTCTCTGCCTCTAGACTGAAAGCACTGGTGTCGACAGGAGGAAGGAGTGTGCAAGCAGCTTGTGACTGGTGAGTTAAGGACACTTCATATTTCACTTTGCCACATACACTTTCGGTCACATCAGGGTCAGATGACGGAAATTTTGTCACCAGGGGTTTGCGCCAGACGGCTGTGGATGGTGCGCGTGTAGCCCAGATTTTTTCTGTCCAGCAGAGATCATTCGTGTCCATGTGCTTCAACTGCACATGTGCAAGGAAATTGAGTAGCTGTTTCCAGTAGGTGGCAGCACTGACTTTCATAGAGTAGAGATCAACCAAGAAAGATTAGAAGAAGAACAGCTGTATGTCTAGTAGTTATGGTTGGGTTGGAGGTACCCGCATTCCTGATTTTTTATATTGTCCAGACATTTTACCGAGGTACTCAGAACAACAATATTGAGGCATTTTGAAATCTTGACGATAAAATTTGCTGTATGCCATATTACCTTAGTACCGCCCAAGCCTAGACAAACTAATTTTCAACTTCATGAAAAGTTTACTCAGTTCACTACAATGCTTGCATTAGTGTTTGTTGCAATATGCCTGCTCTCTGCTGGTCTGGTGGAATATCACTGCTGTATGCAGGATCTCCCATGACCATCCTCATTTGCAGCCAAATGTAGCATGAAGATCTGCAGCCCAAAAGCATGAGCTATGCACTGTCATCAGGAGTTCATGCTTTTAGTCCCGGCTGCAGTCTGTGCAGCTCGAGGTTATTAGTGGTTTAAGGAGAACTGGAGAATACACCCAAAATGTAATCTACAGTGATCAGGCTTGGTAAATTCTTATGTACACACATGCACATATATATACTCATGCATCCTCAGACTTTAATTACAGTGGGACCTGCTTATAATGATCATGGTTATAATGATCAACCGCATATATCGATCAAAAAGCTTGGGACGGAATCATTCCTATACAAATACTGTTTAAATAACTCGCTTACAGTAATCAAGCAGTCTGCTTGCAGTGTTCATTTTGGGTCTTTTTATACATGACAACATACAGAAAAAATTATAACTACACTTAATTTTTTTTTTTTACTTTATTTTTCTTTGATAAGCCTCCTTTGCCTTGCAGTAGCCCGTCTGCTTCCGGCTATAGCTGCCTGAGGCTAATGCGGCATGTAGCTGTATGAGGCTAATACGGCATGTAGCTGCCTGAGGCTAATGCGGCATGTAGCTGCCTGAGGCTAATGCGGCATGTAGCTGTATGAGGCTAATGCGGCATGTAGCTGCCTGAGGCTAATGCGGCATGTAGCTGCCTGAGGCTAATGCGGCATGTAGCTGTATGAGGCTAATGCGGCATGCCCAGAAAACATGACTGGAAAAAGAAATTCATTTTCTCTCAATGATAAATATAGACTCATCGCAGCTTATGATAACCCTCCAAAAACTAGCCACCGAGATGCAACAGTGGAACTACAATAAAGGTATATTTTATGTACAATTTTATACTGCATTGAAGTGCTGAATAGACAGAGGAATCACGACGGTGGTGAAGGAAAACGACTAGAGGCAGACTGACACAAAGTTGTTCTTTAGGTTACTCTTAAAGTGACCCCACAACAAGCAACAATGACAAAAAAGGCATGAATGACAGGGAGACATGGGGAAGTTGCACTAAGTACGGTAAAGCACACACAAACGGTGTGTAGTAACACCATGGCTAAGACACACGAGGATCAAGGACCGAGTACAACCACAGTTAAAGGCACATGCGACAACCAGAGACACAGCACTGCTGTACTGTAATTTGAAGGAGTCAATAAAATTCTGTAAATAGCGACACTATCCGTTTTATGACTTTATTTTTATGTAATAAATAAACAAATGTCAATTAGATGGTAATCTGTCTGAGACATAAAGAAAAGGGAAAAAACATCGATTATAATGATAATCTGCTTATAGTGCTCAATTTCACCTAAACAGACGTGATCAATACAAGCAGATTCCACTGTACAGTACTTTGAATGCTAGAGATGCATATTATATTGGTTAACATTTCGGCCGATATTTGAAGCCAAGATATCTGCATCATTTTGATGTGTCAATCTTTAATGTGTGATGTGTCTGATATTTAAACTTCATCAATATTCAAAGTTAGCAGCACTTGAGCTAAAGCCACACCTATTGAAATAATGAACAAGATGATTTCATTGGACGATCAGCCATCGTCCGCAGTGGAGAAAGTGTCAACTCATTCACTGCATATGAATGGTCTCAAAGTATCGTCCCGCAACGTGTAACTCTGGCCTGTAGGTCAATCTTTCCTTTTCCACAGATTAAAATCACGCACAGGGTTAGATGATGTAAAGTTTGTCACCAGAGGGTTTGCGCCGGATGGCTGTGGATGGTGTTCGTGTAGCCCAGTTTGACAACTTCCAACCCCCAGCAAGGTGCCGGCGAAATTAGACAAAAATAAATCGGTTTTTGGCACTGGTCAGAATTTCCACACCAGTGAACCACTAATGAATGCACACCGACACGCACAGATGCACAGACATATTGCTAGTTTATAAAGCAAACACTGAGACTTACAGTAGTAATCTGCAGACTCAAATTAGGTATTGCAGTGCTGCTGCTGCCCCCTACTGGAATGACACTATATTTTTAAACTTTGCCTTTCCTGACACTTGCATTGGCTTTGCCATCAACAAATATTATGAATGAAGACCTCAGCATGCAGATGCTCTCCCTGCATCTTGAACACCCCCCCCCCCCACTGGCTGTCCCAGGCTCTTCTCCCATGTTGATGACCCCTTCCTCAACGAGCCCCTTCCCCGGGAGTTTGTGTTGTACCTGCGTCCCAGCGGACCGCTGCTACAGCAGCTCTCGCACTTCTGGCAGCAGTCACGCCTCATCTGTGGGAAGAACAAGGCCCATAACATCTTCCCCCACATCACACTCTGTCAGTTCTTCATGGTGAGCTCCCTTTAGCCTGGCTGATAGCCCTTCATCAGATATACGCTGCGACATATTGGATTTCACTGTGTCAAGGTGACTTTGAGTCCTCCATGTTGCACAGTGTGCAGATAGCAAGGTGGAGGCCCTCTGTGAAGCTCTGGAGTCCGTGGTGAGTCAGTGGAGAGGTCGCTTCCCCAGCCCGCTGCCCCTGGAGCTCTACACCTCCTCCAGCTTCATCGGCCTCTTTGTGGAGGAGCAGGTCGCAGAGCTTCTCAAGAAGTTTGCTGCTGACTTTGCCACGGAAGCTGCTGCACAAGCAGGTGGGAAGAGAGGACAAGAGATTTCTGTAATATAAAATACTCAGCAAGCTTTGCTTCATAGTACACGTAGTGTGGCAGCACCTTTAAGATATTGAAACGTGTAATATTATTATTAGTCATCTGGCAGCATTGTGTATTATGATTGGTCACCTGGCAGCATTGTTAATTATGTAAAGTTACCTTTAATTTCACAGTGTGTGCATTGATTGGTTTAGCAGCAATGTCTTTTTTAGATTCAGCATCAAATATGTCTCTTCTTAGACAAATAATACACTTTCTTACCTACCGCTGTCACCCCATTACTGTCTAAAATGTGAAAATGTGCAGTGAGTAGTGGACTCAGCATTCCTCTGTAAATATCCTTTGTTGGGTTTCCAGATGGGCACCATGGTGGTATGCCATGAACTCCTGTCTGCCCTCCTCTCTGTCTCCAGATGTCCATGTAGAACCCCATAAGAAACAGCTCCATGTCACCTTGGCCTACCAGTTCCAGACCAATCACCTCTCTTCACTGGAGAAGCTGGCCAAAGGAATCGAAGTATCACTTGGCTGTGACTGGCTTGCTGTTCTCTTCTCCCGAGATATTCGATTTGCCAACCATGAGGTACTTTCTTCCTTTCCTATGGGTTATGTACCCCGTGCTTATATACCTGGCTTTGCCCCTGTGTCCTAGATCCTACGTGTTATGTACCCCATACTTATATACCTGGCTTTGCCCCTGTGTCCTAGACCCTACGGGTTATGTACCCCATGCTTATATACCTGGCTTTGCCCCTGTGTCCTAGACCCTACGGGTTATGTACCCCTACGTGCCTCAGAATGAAGATGAACTGGAGCTGGTGCCTGGTGATTACATCTTCGTGCTGCCTGTAGAGCAAGGCAGCACCAGTGAGGGCTGGATCTATGGCACCTCCCTCGGCACCGGCCTGTCTGGCCTGTTGCCTGAGAACTACGTGGACCAGGCTGACGAGTCAGACACCTGGGTCTTCCACGGGTGAGCCTCTGGAGCACAGCCACGTAGCTGCCGCCCCGGCGACTTGCATGGAGAGGAAGCCTGTTGACCTTTGCTTCATGTCCTGTTCAGGTCTCACTCCTTTCTCAGCTGTAATCCCCCAGCAGGCATGGCGGCTCTGGTCAACAAAGCTTCAGATGGGCTGCTGGACGGCCCGTTCATCGGCGACTCCAGTGCCATGGGCCAGGCCCCCCTCGGCATCGTCTGCCAGCCCATGCAGGTACAGCTTAGCACAGTCTCCACAAGACTCTGTTAGCACATAAGAGCTGGCCATGTAATCTCTGGGTCTCACCTGTAATCTGTGCTGCTGTCTGACAAATATCCAGGTGTCATATTGGTCTTAATCAGGTAGCCAGTGTATCAGTCACAAGCAGTGGATGGTGAGGATATGATTAAGCCGACTTGCTCAGGTACTGCGGGTCTTCGGCCAGACCAAACCGCCCAAGAGGACTCTGTTCGTCTGTCGCCACGGTGAGCGGATGGACGTGGTGTTTGGGAAACACTGGCTCTCCCAGTGCCTGGATGCCAAAGGTGAGGCTCTTTGTGCAATGAAAGACCTCGTTGTCTCCAATGGAGGGATTACCGTGCATCGCACTTTCACTTGGGTGACCTGCCGAGTGCATGGAGTTTGCAAATATGTTCATTGGATTTTTTTTTGTCTACCCCACATGAAATCCTTTGGTTTCTGTGATTGACTTATGTGGATAAATGGTCAATACAATAGAATGGCTAATAACATATGCATACATCTGATCACGATGGCATTATGCATTATTGTAGACTTATGGAGCACTATAGGCAAAATGAAAGTTACAGCACGCTCTTGTCAGTTAACTCTGCAGACAGACTCGGAGAACTAACGAAGGCACCTATTAATTGCATACTGTCAGTTCTGATTTGTGTTTTGGATGATGCAGGGCGCTATGTGCGCACAAACCTGAACATGCCCCTGAGCCTTCTGGCACGCAGTGGAGGGTATCGTGATTATGAGAAGGATGCGCCCCTCACCGTGTTTGGGTCTACCCAGGCCCGGCTTGTGGGTATGTAAGTTCCAGCCCCACCAGACCCTGTGCGTTTCAATCCAAAGGAAAAAAAATACACTGGATTGAAAAAGTGAAAACGACACCAAATGGTTTCCCAAATAATAATTTATCCAGTAAATAGTATGCTGGCTTTAGCCCTGACTGATCTATACTGCACTCAGAAGGGCCGAGGCTTTTTAAATATATTTATTTTTTATTGATTTCTTTATGTTTGTAGGGGAGGCTTTATTAGAGAACAACACTACAGTTGACTTTGTGTACTGCTCACCGTCCCTGCGATGCGTGCAGACAGCCCACAACATACTCAAAGGTATGTAAAACCTTCCGTGTGCCACAGCTCTGTCAGCCAGCGGTCTAGAGTCGTGGTCTTTGAAGGCACACTCTTAATTTCTGTCGCTAATATATCCTGAGGAAGCACTGGGTTGTGTGTGACTCAGATCTTTGTTCTAGCCAAAGCTAACTTCTTACATGCAGGTCTGCAGCAGGAAGACAGAAGGAGGATTCGAATTGAGCCGGGGCTCTTTGAGTGGACGAAATGGGTGTCCGGACCCTCACTGCCTGCCTGGATCCCTCCGACAGACCTGTCTGCAGCCGGCCTGAGTGTAGACACGACGTACAGGTCAGGCCTTGGTGGCCAGCATGCGGCTGCTGCCTGTCTTTGCCCTGATGGCTTTCAGTAAGACATACAGGCATTTTGACAATTCCACTCTGCAAGCAATTGGCATGAGCCTGTTTGCCTGGCACTGGTGAATTTTACCATCATACTCCACAGACCTCATATTCCTGTTAGCAAGTTGACTGTGTCTGAATTGTACGACACCTACATCAGCCGGAGCTTCCAGGTGACAGAGGACATCCTTGCAGACTGCCTGAACATGGGTACTGACATCATGCGTTTTAATTACTGTTTACTGCCTTGAATGTTTTTCCCTTGTAATTTATTGAATTAACAGTTTTTTATTGTTCTTATTTCTGCGGCTCCACAGGAAACACCGTCCTAATTGTGGCACACGCTTCTTCCCTTGAGGCCTGCACTCGACAGATCCAGGGTCTTAGTCCGCAAAACGCTAAGGACTTCGTGCAAGTGGTGCGAAAGGTAGAAGCACACCTTTGTGGCAAGGCTCCACAGTGCACCCATTTCACTCACATATGCCAGTAAAAATGGTTTGTGCAAACGTGAAAAAAGATTTGGGGGCACTGGTGCATGTGACCTAAAATTATTATCACGGTATTTGTCACTTTTTGGACAGTGACAGTATATATTATATATTAGTTTTTTCCAAGTTTTGGGAGGAGTATCATGTTCTGTCCCTTTATGTAAATTTTTAAAATGCAGTATATTGAGTACACTTTAATCGCTATTACAGTTGTGTATGGGCAGTCTTATTTCGAAAAGATATAAAAAGTGACATACGTAAAGTTTTCTCATTTTTGTTTATTAATTGTCGGAGTAACAAGGTGCTTCAGCCAAAAACAGTGCATTTCACATTTCGATTAAAACGCGGGGTTTCCAACTTCGGTCAACTGTCTGGAGTGAGATTTTCAATTTTTCTGGACACACATGCACACACATGTACATGCATGTAACAGTTTTATTACCCTGTCAATAGTCTGTAGGGTTTGCAAAATACAGTACCCCGATACTTTTATTATTAAATTTTAGGTTTATAATGGTGTGAGAGTTGGCAACCCTGAAAACGTATGGTATTTGTTTCACCTGAGTTGATTTGTATAAAAAATAACATTACTTTATACAGTTGTTAAACAACATAAGCTTTTATAAACATGAAATCACCAATAAACTACGTCTATTTGTCCACCATTTTATAAAATACTGCATTTGAAAACATTTCAGCTGTAGGATTCCAGGACAGAACAGCCACTCTGTTAGGAACATTACAGCATTTTGGTTGAGAGTCTTACCCCTGATTTACACTGGATGCGTATCCGCTGCGGTGCGACTGCGCTGCATTCGCATTCCGTCCGAGGCCGTCCGCCAATTCACACTGGACACATTTGTGGTCCGTATCTGATCCGGCGCGCCGCTGGTTTGCGAGATCACATGACCACGGGAGAATAACATTTAACATAACATTTGTCTATGTTTCTATGGATAAAATAATGTGTCACTCCCATATAGGTTACTGAACACTTTATTAGGAGTTTACAAGTACTTCACAGTACAGGTTACTTTCATTAAAAATCAAGTATATACATAGTTAATTGGAAGATTCAACTTACCGTAAAATCCCAAAACTTCTGAAGTTTCACTCCACGCCTTCTCCTTTCTACTGTTGTCCTTGTAAAAAGGATTTCTGGGGTCGTACACAATTCCGTGTTTCTCCACCTCCAAAATTAATTTTTCCTCGTCCATGATGTGATGGAGAATTGGCGCATGCGCTCTGTGTTGCGTTCTTGATGCGCATCTTGACGGACTGCCGGACGCGTGACGGAACAGAGACATAGCGGAGACGCAACGCAGCGGATCTGGTGTAAACTGATGCATTGACTTTATTGGCGGCGATTGCCTGCGGCTGCCGTGTCGGAAACGCACTGCAACGGATACGCATCCAGTGTAAATCAGGGGTCAGATTGGCTGCAATTCGCTGAATTTTCCATTTTTGTATCTCTAACAAGATCCCCTACCTGGGCTTCTGTGCCTGTGAGGAGGGGGACGCCAGGCTCTGGCGGCTGGTGGAGCCCCCCGTCCTGCCGCTCACGCATGGACCCAACCATAGCTTCAGCTGGAGGGAGACCCTGCTGCAGGACTGAGGCAGCTAGTCTGTCCAAATCTCCACCCCAGAACTCTGCCGTGGAATCTCGTCTCTTCGGTACAGATGTGTTCTTCAGGGAGGTGGCAAGAGTCAACTTTGACTCTTGCTCCAGGCTTGGGCCCAGAGATAGCGCCCCGTCGCAGCTCAGAGTCCAGCTGCATTGCAGGAAACATTTTGTGGGAGAGTCCAGTAATGGATTTCACGCCTTATTTAAAGAATTCCTAGATGCGCCTCTACTCCCACAAGCTACATTTGTAGTCCTAATGACCCTACACATATATAGGCATATATATTTATATACTTGACAGACTAATGTGACAGAGGTGTACATATTTTACAGTCATTGATTCAGGGGCAGTGGTTGGTTGTTGGTCTTCAAGGCGTGTGCTTTGGACTGAGCCATGTCGCAGCTGGCACAAATGGTTTATAGCTAAGAGAAGGTTCACTACATTGACATACAAGGTCACAGCTGCCGCTTTGACCTGGTCCAAAGTGAGTCATTCATGACGTCTTAATGAGCCACCACCACCAGTTATTCATGTACTCACCACTGCTCAGCGAGTGTTGGGGGGGCATAAGCATACTTCTTGTCCTGCTTGTGCTGTTCCAGCAGGCTAAATGTTATTTAACCAATGTGTTCCTCAAACGGCTAATGCAGCCTTGGCCAACAGGAAATGCTGACATAATGGTAATTGCCCTTTAGGAATTTTCTCTTAGTGGAAACAAAATTTTCTTTCCCTAGGTATATTGCAACCCACTGATTCAACCTGAGAAACACCTTTTGTCCTTGTCGTGAAAAGCTACATCATTATATTCTGCTGCTATACATCTTTCATTAAGTTTAACAGTGTATTCAAAGGCACAAAGTAAAGATTTCATTGGGTTTTGGAGTTTATAAGCATGGCCTCATACTCAATATGTGAACTCCTTGCATACTCTTGAATATTGTGTCTATGCCCTTTCAAACCGCAGTGTAAAAAATGCAGTTCAGTGACATAATGGGCACAATGAAAAATGAGTATTTGCAGGGGAAGACTACACCACATTCCCCTCACATTAAATCTCAGGGTCTGATAGAATGAATCTCATCTTTAGCAGAGTTGAACTGTAACAAGGAACTCTGATGTTTTTTGCACAAAGGATAACTTAATACATTAGGCGATTAACAATTTAAAATGCACATGTACAGGTATATCATTTCTATAAAGTAACAGAAATTGTGACACCTTGAAAATTTTCTTTGGATTAATTTTTAGGCCAGTTCACAAATCACTTTTACTCTCTCCCCGTAAATGGATTTTTAATCTTTCATGTTTAGGCTATTTTATTGACATTGAAATCAGGAGAATGTGAGTATTATGTTCAGTTTTTTTCTGAATTTGTCTGTATTTTACCATGAAGATAAGTTTGAATTTTTATTTTTTCCGTTCATTATTTGACCATGAGAACCATTTATTGCTTTATTAACGTAAGTGATGGACTTTACAGTGCAGTTTTTATCTTAAGCTTCAGGGATTTAATTTTATATAGCCAAATCACTGGTGATGCATTGCTGTATCTGGAAAAGAGTGTCAGATTAATTAATTATCTGGTCTAATTAAACGTCTCAAAATCAAAGTCACAGCTTATTTGATACTGGTTTTTGTCTGTCCTCATATGTAATGTCTGAGAGTTTTGCTGATTTTTTTTTTATATATTTGATGCTTTAATTTTGCCCATGGTTTCAGCTTCATATGTATAAAAAAGTGTCATCAACCTTCCACAAAATTTCAGGCACACAAAATCATTTGAGATAATGTACTGAGATTTGATCTTTGCTCACTTTCTCTCAGATCTGGCATTTACTTTCTATGCTTTTGCCCAATTACAATACTAATATCAATACTAATATTTTCAGCAAAATTTGTGCAGACATTAAATCCCTCAGGTTATAGTGCATGCATATGACACATAATTCACATGCCATATAAAATGACATTAATAAAGTTCATGTACTTCTTAAAATATGATGAATGCTAGAGATATTCATTTATTGTTAGTGTGTTGTTAATGTATTATAATACACAGTCTGTAATTAAGTGTTTTATGTTTTAAAAACATTAAGTTCGACTTTGCTCATGGAACTTCAAAGGAAGTCAAAATTTGTGACCAAAGTTAATTTTTGTTCTGTTTGTACCAGCCAACCTTCTTTTTGTCATCTAAATATTTGTTTCTGAACTGTTGGAATTATTGTTTGTGTAATATTGTTTTTATTAAATAAATTAAAAGTAAAGAAATTAGAGAATGAATAGGAGAAAGAAATTATTGAAGAAAGCCTGGTGCTTTACTGTCCTAAATGGCCGTTCATGCATTTGAGAGTGGATGGACTATAGTGGTCAATAAAAAATACAACCTGTTTTCTGTAAGCAAGCTCCAAATACTTGAAGATACAAAACTTCTTTCTATTTCATTATTTTTATGCATAGACAGATGTGGCTGTGTTGAGCTCATGTGTCATATTTTGATGCACATGATTGTCACAATATTTGATTCTTTAACTCACTGCTTCAGAAATATATAAATCATGTTTGCAAATAAATGTTTTATTAGCTGTTTCCTGGTCATTTTTGTTAGCAAAACAAAAAGCTTCATTAATCTTAGTACAAAGATATACTTGGCCAGCCAAATTAGGATATGTAACAAGTGTCACCTAGTTATTCACTGGAATACTTCATTTGCTTTCAAATATTTCTACAAAGCGTTCGTCTGTGCTTATTTATACACATCAATGCGTTTTCTGTACGGTGGATTGTGTTTGTCTTTGGGCACCCCGATAGCCAAATAGCAGAGCTAAGGGCTGAATATATGCGCGTGCTTTTTGGTGAGATGGTCTGGTTCAAACCATCGGGGCGTCGGCAACAGCGGAGCGCTAACGGCCGCCCGCGAGCTCGCGGAGCAACGGCGCCAAAACGCCGCTAGATGTGAGCAGAGAGCCGCGTGCCAGCTGACGAAGTCTAACACGCCGCGAAAATCTGGAGAGTAAGTTAAGATCAAAAAGTTTACATGCGAAAAAGTATATTTTTCTTATGTACAGCCTGGCGTGATATTATTAAGATTTACTTGTATAATTGTGTTGCTTATTTGTCGTTTAACCAGCTACAGAAAATTTTTAGAATGAATTGTCAGCAGCCCAAATTTCGTCAAAACAGATGAATGTGCGAGCACTGAAAGAAAGATTTTCGAGATTATACTGATCTGTGGATCTACGGAAATCAGGTAATGAATGAAGTCCTAACGTTACCCTTTTTACATGAAGGCAGCATTATTTAGAGATGTGGAGACAGATTGGTAGATAATAGGACAGAAACTGTTACAACGGTACAACTGATAAATACAAAGCCTTCAGTAGGTCCCACCAGGTACGCGTTAGGGTGCTCTCTGATCGGGACGCACTGAGATTCATTTCCACCAAGAGATTACTGTTTATTTTCTTATAAATACACCTGAAGTTAAATGGCTCTAGTTTCCGACTGACTCAGCTGTACAAACGCCAAAGCGTTGTGTATCCACCAGGGATACACAACGCGCCAGGAATATTTAATCTCTGCTTCACTTGTACTGATATGACCCGATCTAGTTTTTCATGCGCGGTTCTTCCCCAGCAGGCCTTTGAATGCGGAGCTAATCCAATTAATTAAAGTGATTTCTAGTCCTAGATAGGGCTGCTCTGTCGTAATAAAAATTTGATTTGATTGAAAGGGCTGACATGTTGACCTTGGACTACAGCTGCTGCAGTTGAAAACTCTTTAGATTAACTCTAAAGCTCCAAAGAAGAGTTCAGAAGAGACATTAGATATTGGGTCAGTCAAACCCCATTCATCTCCATGCATTTTAATGAAGCACGTTTTCTTTTAAGTCAAGCAGTATACATCCCAGACAGCACACATATGCTGAAATGACATTGATTCCATATCAGACAAAAAGGTTGAAACAACGCTGATGTTCAATCTTTCACTTTATGTCAACATTGAATCAAGGTTTTGCCACTCTCAATTTTTCAATATTGAAAATCTGACTAAAAATCTAGGCTACTAAGTTTCAATGTTGATAATTTAACACTGACCATAATTCAACTCATTTAACAATAATTCAACGTTGAAACAATAACATGTTGCTATTTGGGATATATTACATGCATACATGCAAAAGTAACTTTTATTTGATAAATCAAATAATTCGTTTAGGGCAGCTTATTTACAGAATGATTAGTGTTTGGTGACCCTGGTGCATTAATTTTTAAGGTCTACCTGGAGCAAACTGACTAAATACAGTGATTATGAGCAACACTTTGATACATGCCTCATTCAACTCACTGCTCAGTTAGCTGGAATAATTACCATCATCTGCAGAACAGATTTTCCCGTGTCTAGATTCTTATGTGTGGTTACATATGTCTGTTTGACTTTATATAAAGATATTACATAATGTAGCCTTAATTTGAACTTCCTTTTGTATTGTTAATTTTTCTGTATTTTTCCGTGTCCATTTTATGAATTATATTATTTGGAATTATGGAGAATATATGGGAAGTATTTTTTGATGCTGCCTTTAGTTCATCAGTTCCCTTCTTATGTAATGCTCAGGAATTCCCTACGTAATAGTGGGATAATAGTCCGCAATAAAAAAACTTACATTATTTTCTTTTTTATTTTTTACTTATAACGTAACAATGGCTTAGCAATTTAAATATACATCCATCCATCTTCCAATGGCTTAATCTGGTCCTGGTCACAGGTGTGCATGGGACATATCCTTAGCAGTATAGGGTACGAGGCAGGGGTACATCCTGGATGGCAGTATAGTTTTTTTAAACAGCTAGTCATTGTCAGTCTTGTATTTTGTTTTTTTTCCCCCAGTCTTAATTTTCAAATCCCAGGATCAGCAGACTGATTTCATAACTGGGCCCTTGACCAAGACCCTTAACCCCAGTTTCTCCAGGGATGGTTTGACCCTGCCGTCTCAAAAAATGATATGTCACTTTGAATAAATGTGTCTACTAAATACATGAAATGTGGATGTAAATGATTCACAGGTCCATGTCTGAGTTAAGAAGGGTGTTAGAGCTTTTCTACTACTACAGTAATGATGGGAGACATCTTGTTACATGTTCATTATCTTCAGTAATTCCACTGTCAGCACAGCTCTTGTCAATATCTGGCGCATTTTCATGGGTCCCATCTGAAGCACTGGCAAAGCACAGCTGCCAAAGTAACCATGAGTGGCAGATTTCAGATTCTACAGACTTTTTGTATCCATTTTAAAGTTTACCTGTTAACATATAATTAGTATAATTGATGTAAAATCTTGTAATCTTGTTTATTTGTACGCAACACCACAGTTTGCTTTTATTGTAATAATAAGAACAGTAATACTGTTAATGTTATTTGCAGCAATACTTGTGATTCCGATTATGCTAAAATCAACGTTAGAGACCTTACAGTCCCTTCAGTACAGAGTTACCTGACATTTATCAGTTTCTACTCTGCCCCAGGATGCCACTGTGGCACTGCTAAGCATTATGGGTGAAACCTGAAAAACAAGGTCAGTTGAAGCAAAGGAGCTGGCTTCAGTTTCATGAGCTGGAATTCAGTTGCACCCTTGAGCCACATACATTCCCCTGAATTAGCTTGAGTGAAAAATACCCAGTATTATAAACCACTAAAGATCTGACAGTACTGAAATATGTGAAAGACTCCATGGAAGAATATCTGATAGGCCAATAAGCAACATAATATAATTTGGTACACATGTACCCAAGTGCAGATTCTTCTGCTTGTCTGCATTTGATTGCTTTAACTAAGATGTATTATTAAACATTTTAGGTAATCTAAAAAAATCTCTTCAATGTGTATTACATTTTTTATGTAGGATAATGGTGATCCTTTGTCCATTTTGCAGCTAGCTGAGAGTAATTCTCCTCACCCATTGGCCTACAGTTTCCTGTCAGTAGTGCAAATGCCTGTTTTAAAAAACAGCATGCATGAAAAGCAGAGCCATTAACTGAATGCCTTTGTAAGAGTTAAGGTAAATACAGAAATATCACGTGCTATATGCACAATTTCACAGCTCAAGAATAGTTTACAGTTGCACTACGGCATTTAAAAATCCACATTGGATGTGGCTTCAGTTTGTGTTTGACTTAAAAGCCCCCAGTTCACAATGCTCAGAGTGATTGCAGGGGGGGCACATTGTGTCCTGTGAAGGGGCTATCAATTAGCAAGACCTTTAAATGTAGACGTGATCTATGAGTGGCAAAAGGTGACTGAAAGGCACTTTCTATTCTTTGTTCTCTTGAACATTGTTTATATGAGGGATGGGTCTATAAAGGCTCTTCATGAGGGTAATCTGAAGCCTGTATGGCTGTCCAGAGTGTAAGGCCATCAATCCATTTGTACTGAGGCTAATTTGTCATGAGTGGGAAAATCACTGCTGCTCTCTCTTCTTTTGACATATAGAGTCTGGATATTGATATTCATAACATTCCACAAACCCCCGCAAAGCTTTTTAGAGTTTTTGAGGCACCTTTTATAAGCAAGCTTTAAGCAACATTTCATTTCACCCTGTGCTTGTTACACTTACTGTCCGCACCGATTTTCCCTTGGTGTGGTAGTAGGGCAGGAAAGACTAATGAATAGATGGCTGAGGGCAGGGAACTCTTCTAAAAAACGAAGTGATTATCGAAAAACAGTGAATCTTTACAATCTAATAATGCTCTCCGTGTTCTTTTCAAGCTTTTAAACTAATTCATGATTGATCGCTAATTATCGGTGGCGCAGCCTCTGGAGACATTTCGGGCTCCCGTCCCTTCGCCCCTTTTAACGGTCTGAAGGCGGCTATCAGTTTCAGACAGTCTTCTCTGCTACTTGTTCGAAGTAGTCAATACGAGACGTTTGAATAATCCCTCCTGAACTTTGCCAATACATCGGACTATTTTTTCGAAAATAAAATGTTTTATCCTCAGGCGCTTGAGGATGATCCTGGGTAAGACTCGTGTTGCCATAGCTTGATTAAAATTGTTCAAAAATAATTTTGGCAGTAATTCAATGTCCATACGGTGTCTATTCCATAATATCGTCATAAGTTAATAAATGATGGCGATAGTTTCTTTAGCTATGTAGAAGTGTTTATGCTACGCTTGCTAATTGTCCATCTATTGATTTCATCTGGGATGAAGAACACCGCTGGACTTGTTTTTGCGCCCCCTGACGCGTAATGACAAATCTTCACAATGAAATGGCCGCAATTGATGTTACCTGTATAGATCTGACTACCGTTACCCCGCCTTAGAAAGTCATGAAGAAAGAGCATCGTTAATGACGATATATTTGTTGTCAGGGTTCAATGTGTTGTGAGCTGGTTTTGTTTCTTTTAAGACAGAAGCTTGGAAAGGCAAAAAAAAAAAAATCTATTCCCTCGCATTGCTTTTAACTCTCGCATATAAAAGTAGTGATGTGTGCTAAACTGTTAGTGTGACGGCTGAAAGCGAAAAGACGATGATGTGAGAACTTGGACTCAGTGAATGCGTGCTCCACGGATCGAGTGTCAGGTAAGCTGA